CTTTAAGGCATGATCTGCGATTTGCTTTGTCTTCCTTTCTTCAGCCAACCATTCTACCTCCCAATTCAGTGTATATTTTTCTTTCTATTTGGTTACCAAGAAGCTCTAGGGAGATGAGTAATGAGGCACAGAGAACCAGCAGAGAAAGGGGAAGCAAGTCATGTACAGAACCCTGTCAGGAGATATTGTTTACCTTGCAGTGTTTAAGCTCTGGTAAAGAATATTCCAAAAACTCACTGTTAGGAAGGGTTTTCTCTCCTCCACCTCTCTAACGTATAAAAAGGGAAGGGAAATTTGGAAATGTATGATAAGAGCTGATTGTGAAAACGGTAGCATAGGACAATTTGAAGGCCTTCTGTAATGTACAGTTTAGATCTTAGTGAACATAGGTATTAATCTGCTATGCAAATGAATAAATTTGACTTTGTATTGTCACTAGAATTGCCAATTTTGGTTGGAAAAATTCCTCGAGATTTCATCACATGACATAATCTTTAATCAAAGAGTAACCTTTAATTCCTGGGCACTCCAGGGCAATCCTAAAGTGTTGGCAAACTTAAATGTGACCTGTATATCACAGAATCCATCACAAAATTAAAGAAAGTAAATCTTTCATCTGCTTTACTTAAGTTGGCATATTCTCAACCTTATCAAGAAATTTTATCAGACCAAAGAACCTGCATAATTGTAAAATGAATACTGACATCAGGATGAGAATACATTTTACTAGTCATGTTATTCGTATCTTTGACCTCGAACAAAAGACAATGACAAAAGTTTAGCCTAACAACCCATATATAGAATATGTGAAATGACGCTCCATGCATTTTCAGTAGCGTGTGATACTAGAGAAGGTATATAAAAAGAGAATAGGTGGGGTTTTAGAGATCAGCAAATAAGAAGATGGATTAATTTATTTAAAAATGTAAGCTTATTACCATTTCTAATTGCAATCTCACAGAGAGCACAAAAGGATGAACTGGAGAAAATAAAGCAGTATTATGAGACTTCAAAAGAAGAGGAACTGAAGCTCTTGGACAAACCAGAACAGTAAGATTTTTTTTTTTTGAAAAATATTTTCCGTTATGCAGAATGACCATTGTCTAGGAGGCTGAGGGATGTTGGAATAGGATTCTGGCCTGTTAAAAGTTTTTTCTAAAAAAAATAATAAAAAAATTCCATATTTCAAGGGATAGTGTGAAAATTGATCATACTGTCCCTTTTTGCTATGTTGTGTATAGTGTTGTATTAACTGGGACCACCAAGACAGATGAAAAATACTGATTTTGCTATGTGACCTGGAGCTAGTCACAATTTTTGTGCCTGTTTGTTCTTATTTTTAAAATATATTTACCTTCCTCTCCTAGATATTGAAGCTGAATTAATATTTGTAAAGCAGTGACATGTGCTTGGATGGAAAGGTGCCATAAAAGTGCCATAAATTGCTGTTATAATAAATCCCAAAATTCACAAATGGAATTATAATCCTATAATTCAGAATGAACCTGTCTTTTATTTAAAACTATGTATTTGATCTCAAATTTATTCCTATCACTGCTTTCTGGTACCTCTCTCTTTCTCCTCCCTCCTTACTCCTTAACTGGCCTCCATCACATTCTCCTCATTGCCTGTGTTCCCACACCGAGGCCCCTCTACTACCTTACTCTTTTCTCCTCTTCAATTTGCTGCTCCTCACTCATCTTTGCCATAAAAGAGAGTGGAGGGGGAAATGCATGTATGGTGCAGGAGAGATGGAGGCAGCAGTGATGGCTTCTGAGTATGAGAGCTGGAACAACAGAGGGGACATATTTTTACACAGTTTCTTTAAGGCTGGAGGCATAAAGAAGTGACCAATGCAGTGCAGGTGATATGATATATGCAAAGTGGAGATGGGTGGGTCATGTCGTCTTCAGGCAAGACATTAGGTGGTCCACCCATATTAGTAGTTGACTGGATCCTCAAAGACCAAATATGACCAGTTGGCAGACTGAAAATGTACTGGGCCATCCCATGACAAAACTTTGGCCAGAAATGGAAAGAATGTACTCACAACAAAATGGAATGGTGTGGTGTCGACTTGCGTTTGTAGAAGAATGGAAAAGAGCCAAGTAGACACAGATGACAAAGGTGTTTAAGGATGGAGGTTGGTGTTAGAGGGCAAAAAGTTTTTTCTTCTTTCCAACCCACAAAGCAAGCTATGCTGCTGTTGACATCTACGTAAGTACTGCATTGGGGAATAGGTTAATGTCCAAAGATATTAATATCTCCGAAATGTTGAAACCTCAGAATATGAATGTCCTCCGCATTTATATAGTCTTGTTCATCCATCCCTTGTCCGTGGGTTTTCACTGACTATGCTCAAGAGTTCTGGAACACAGCATAATGATAGATTGTAACTATTTAATATTTCCCAAGTTTTAAATCTTTGGCAACCTGTTTATTATATCTTTCTGTGAAATAAATATAAGGACATTTTATATCCTGGAAAATATGAATCATGCTTAGTGTTTTGGAATTATAAGAGCTATACTAGTTTTGTAAACTTTGAGTGGGGAGAAGTTAGTCCACATTACTCACCCTGTCATTTTCATGCTAGCTTTGCTCTGTAGTTAAAAATAATGGATTTTAAAGAAACCAATTATTGTTGGTAATTTCAAATAAAATGATAGTCTCCTTTTTCACCATCTAGTCTTTACCAAAACAGTTCTTATAATCTGCCCACCTGGGCAGCAGTGACTATAAAATGGTTGAGTTCAGAATCCTGACAAAAGGAAGAAAGGAGAGCAGCAAAATATACGCACTGGACTTCAGAAAGCAGATTTTGCTCCCTCAGGGAACTGATAGAGAGGATCCCCTGGGCGGCTAAGATGAGGGGGAAAGGAGTCCTGGAGAACTGGCTGTATTTTAAAGAAACCTTTTTGAGGGTGCAGGAATATATCATCCTGGTGTTTAGAAAGAATAGCAAATATGGTAAGCGACCCAGCTTGGCTTAACAGAGAAATGTTTGGTGAACTTAATCACAAAAAGGAAGCTTACAAGAAGTGGAAACTTGGACAGATGACTAGGAAGGAGAATAAAAATGTTGCTGAAGCATGCAGAGGTGTAATAAGGAAGGCCAAATCACAATTGGAGTTGCAGCTAGCAAGGAATGTGAAGGATAACAGGAAGAGTTTCTACAGGTATGCTAACAACAAGAAAGTCAGAGAAAGTGTGGGACTCCTAGTGACTGCTACAGGTTAGGAACTGACTAGCTAAGCCAGGGATGGCCAACCCATTTAACAAAGAGAGCCAAAACAGTGGTGGAAAATATGCGAAGAGCTGTGCCAGAATTGTCAAGCAAAAAAAACGCCCCCCCCCTTTTTTAAAAAGGAGGCTGCCTCTTTAAGATGGCTGTCATCTTGGGCGCCATTTTGAAAATCCCACAGCTCCAACCCGGTAAGCACAGGGAACCTGGGGGGAGTTGGTGGGGAGTGAGGGTAATTGGGGGGTGCAGGTGTGGCTTTGAGAAGCTGCACTTTTGGGGGGAAGAGCTGTATGCTGCTCACAAGCTATGGGTTAGCCACGGCTGAGCTAAGCGGTAGTTATGAAGAAAAAGGACCTGGGGATTACAGTGGACAAGAACTGGATATGAGTCAACAGTGTGCCCTTTTATCCAAGAAGACTAACAACATTTTGGGCTGCCTTAGTAGGAGCATAGCCATCAGATTGAGGGAAGTGATTATTTCCCTCTATTTGACACTGGTGAAACCACATTTGGAGTATTGTGTTGAGTATTGGGTCCCCCATTACAGAAAGGATGCAGACAAATTGGAGTGTCAGACAAAGGGCAACAAAAATGATTAGGGGGCTGGGATGCATGGTTTATGAGGAGAAGCTGAGAAAACTGTGTTTACTCAGTCTGAGGAAGGGAAGAGTGAGGGAGGATTTGATAGCAGTCTTCAACTATACAAAAGGGGGTTCCAAATTATATGGAGCCAGGCTGTTCTCAGTGGTGGCAGATGACACAACAGGGAGCAATGATTTCTAATTGCAATGTGAAAGGTCTACACTGGATATTAGGAAAAACAATTTCACTAGAAGGGTGGTGAAGCACTGGATTGTGTTACCTAAAGATGTGGTGGAATCGCCACCCCTAGAGGTTTTTAAGGCCAAGCTTGACAAAGCCCTGGCTGGGATGATTTAGTTTAGGTTGTTCCTGCTTTGAGAAGGGGGTTGGACTAGATGACCTTCTGATGTCTCTTTTAATCCTAATCTTCTATAATTCTATTATTCCAATCCTTACCTAACTATTCCATGATTTCGCCTGTTATTAAGAGATGTTGATTAAGGAGATGTCTTTTTTAAAAGTTGCTTTAAAATGAAACAATCAACTAGTGGTCAGGAATCAGGGCATGCAGCTAGTCTGAGACCATTTAGATTGCCTCATCTGAACACCTGGATAGACCAGACCTACCAGGACTGCTCTGAAGCTAAGGAACAGCAGCAGCTGCTGCTGCTCAATGCTTTATTTGCAGCTGCAATTGCTCTTGTAACATCCAGTCCATAACAGTTTGAATATCATGCTCCTAAAATAAGGGGGGGGACAAGTTCTGCTAGCAGAACGGATGCTGCTAAGACTAGTGTCTCCCTGTCAGTTACTGAGTATCTTGAAGAGGTATCACTGAGGTTGCTGCCCTTCAGGCACTGTGTATGATTGCTCACCTAACTGCCCCATAGACGTCACTACTCTGCAAGGTCATCAAGAAATCCTTCAGTTTGGGTTGGTCTGTATGCCACAAGCTCCTATTCTTCTCTGTATTCCCTGACTCATTGCCCAGGATCCATATATCTCCTGGTAGACTGACATGGTGCATTTTAGTTCACCATACTGCTAGCTGTCTTGACTTCCAAAATCCAACCCCAAACTTAACTGCTCTACTTCTTTGCCCATCTCTCAGGAGATTCCAAAACAGGGTAGTTAGTTCAAAGGGGTCCTTTGCAAACAATAATGTCTTCCCAATAGCCCAGGAGTTCCTGTCCAATATCAAGACTTCATTAACATATTTGACAAAAAGAAAACTGGCGTTTTTCTACCTCACTGTATCTATGACTGCCCCCTTGATGTTCTGTGTGGAGCAGTGCTCACTTTTGAACATATCTATTTCCTCTCAGAAAATGAGTTATAAACTTTCTGGAGCTATCTACAAGAGGACCTGCAGGGGGGATTCATAAATCTCTCCAAGTCCTCAACCAAGGCTTTGATTTTTCTGTGTGGGTAAGAAAGATGGCTCCCTGTAGGCTTGTGTAGAATAATAGCCATTAAACATGTTACAGTCAAGAACTAGTACCTCTTGCTAATGAACTCTTCAAGAGACTCTGCTCTACCCTACTCTTAGTTGGACTTTTTCAAACCTTGTAACTTGGTTCAGTTTAGAGATAGAGATGAATGGAAGACAACTTTCACACTTGGTACAGACACTTTGAATATTTGATTCTGCTCTTCAGTTTGTGCCAGGCTCTTGTAACTTTCCAGTGCTTTGTTCATGATATCTTTAGGAACATGCTAGACCAATATGTAGTTTTCTACCTCAGTGATATCTTCATTTTTATTGAGGGTCTGGTTCTTATGATAAACATTTATGCAGCATCTTAGAAAGATTCTGCTAAAATCACTTGCATGTGATGCTCAAGACATGTGATGTTGATGAGGATATGAGTGAATTCCTAGGGCACATTGTTTCTCCAAGGGATTATGGACCATCCCAAGATGTCATCCATGTCTTGGTTGATTTCCTAACTAAATTGGTGTTCCTGTTCTGTGCCACACCTTCCCTGCTGTATCAGAAACAACACCTGTCTTCCTAAAGATTGCCTTCCATTACCATGAATATCCAACTGGCCTCATATTGGGCTAGATCTCCTGTTCATCTCCCATTCCTGGAGGGTGTTTCTAAGATTTCTTGGCATAGAGTCCCTCACTTTTTCTGCCTATCACCTGCAAACCAGTGAGTGACATTGCATGGGTGAAGGTAATGTTATAGAATCTGGATGATATGCTATGTCCATTCTTTGCATGAAAACAAGGATGAACGCCAGACATATCCTCAGGTTCCCAAGTACCTACCACCATGGACTTGGCTACTCACCTGCTTTAGGTTCACCAAGGACTTAAGAAAAATTTGAGATCTGCTAAAGAAGATTATAAAACGAAGCTCACCAGGGCCCAGTGGAGCAGCTCCTGTCTGCAGCAGGTCCCCTGTGGAGCTGGAACAGTCGCCTGCCTGGGGGCAGCTGTGAAACTGCTCCAGCCCCACTTGTTAATCTTAACCGGTAAGCCTCATCCGCTTACTGTTTAACCAGTTATCTTCCTTCTAAAGCCTTATACTGAGAACCTCTTTCCAAACCACAGCAATCCACTTCTGCCATCCATAACTGTTTGTAAGCCCACAGAATATGTGCTCTGATGAATTTTTTCCTCCTTAGTCAGTTGAGGGAAACTGCATTACCTGGAGGACTGGCAAGGCTATAGTCTGAAGAACAGTTCAGGGATATGGTGGAGAACATCTGTGCTGAGCCTCAAATCAGCTAGGTGGTCTAATCTGAATACCTTGATTCTGTAATTAGCTAAGAGGAGTCACCAGGACTTCTCTTTAGTCCTACAGCAGGAACAGGCCAAAACCTACTCCCTAAAATTCAAAGATACCTTGATAAATTGTTGAAGTGGACTAAAGACTCAAATGAAAAATGAATCTAAGTGCTACATTCAAGGGAGAAAAAACAAATTCATAAACCCAGAATGGGAGATAACTAGCATGGCAGTAGAACTGTGAGAGGGATCTGGGACTTAAAACTTCAACATGAGTCAGCAATGTGATGCTGTTGCAAAAAACACAGTTGGAAATATGAATTGCATTAACAGAGGCATAAGCCTGCAAATCACAAGAGGTGATAGTACTGGTGCTCGTTAGTCTTCAGCTGGACTTCCTCACCCAACTTTGTTCATCACTGAATAGAAAGGATATCAAGATATTGGAAAGGATCCTTATGTGAGCAACAAATATAATCAATAGAATGGAATGCAAGCCATATGAGTAGAGTGATACTGAAGGAACTGAGTATCTTTAATTTGGGGGGAAAAAGAGAAGATTACAGGGAGACATGATAGTAGCCATCAAATAATTGAAAGGATGCCATAAAGGATGCCACAGAGAACAGGTCAAGAGCCAATGGATACAAACTAGAGCACACCTGTTTTAGATTAAATGTCAAGAAAATCTTCCTGAGTATAAGCACAATGGAACAGACTGCCTTAGGAAAGGTGGAAGCTTCACTGGAGCTTTTCAAAAAGAGGCTGGATAGCCCTATGTGTTGCATAGGTTAGACACAACAAATCCTGCTTCTTGGCATGGGTTTAGACTAGATGACCCTTCTCCCTATAGTTCTATGATTCTGTGCTTCACTTACAACTATGATCATCCTGTCCCAGCCTTGTTCCCAGCTGTACTTGATTCCTGATTCCAGCTCTAAACATTAGTGCTGTTCCTAGACTCTGATTGCATTTCCAACCACTAGTCCTGACCAGCCTCTTCTCTGACTGCTATGGCTGATTTTCAACACCATCGTCCATTACAGCAGTGATGTCTTCCGTCGTTTTATCAGCCATTCAAAATACAGGCAGTCCCTGGGTTACATGGATCCAACTTACATCGGATCCCTACTTACAAACGGGGTGAGGCAACCCCGCACTAGCTGCTTCCCCCCAGCAGACCAGGGAGACGCGGAGCAGCTTTTCTCAGCAGACACCTCAGCTTGAGAATAAAGGACTGAGGGAAGTGAGGTGTGGGAGAATAAAACTGAGCTCTGGAGAAATGTTTGGCTAGAGTTTCCCCTACAATATGTACTAGTTCCGACTTACATACAAATTCAACTTAAGAACAAACCTACAGTCTTGTACGTAACCCGGGGACTGCCTGTACTGCACTTTCTGGAAACTCAATAAATCAATTGCAGTGTTACAACTATTTGCTCAGACTCAATAAATGCAGGCTCAGGGCCATTTGTTGGAACTACATTAAGCATATTCATCCCACAAAAGATTAAGCACACAAGAGTTCCAACTTTGTGTGCATAGATTAAAATTAGTTACCGTGGGCACATATACCTGACTATGTTTTCATTGGTAAAGCTCAAAGCAGTTCAGAAATGAAATGCCGTATTTTTAAAGGGGGTACAAATGGTAACGTTATGGATTAAAATACTGCAAGTGTTGGGCAGAATTCAGTGCAGTCTAAAAGAGGCTTTAGCCAGTTTTAAGTGGTTTGAAATTCCAGACAAAGGAAAAGGTTTCCTGATATCAGTATTGGTCTCCTGCACATGTGATTTTGATTTGTTTTGCAGGCATGTTGTATTTGCTATTGTTGAAATACACTGTAAATATATCTTAGCAATATTGTAAGGTGCCCTTAAATTATGTTCCTTGATAATAAAGTTGTTAAAATGCTAATATTCATTACTGTGGTTAGGATTTATATGTGTAATTGACCACAACATGGAGCTTTTGTCTGAGGGACACAGATGGTCTAGATGCTTTCCAAGTACTATATTGCATCTTGGCTGAAATGTAATCTTCATGTAGTTCTAACTACTACTAAATCACCGCTAGACAGGGGAATGGGAGCAAAATGCAGTTTGTAACTTTATAACTAAACAAGATATTGACCACAATAAGTTTGAAGTAAAATATTTATTTCTCCCCAAATTATGACACTGAGTCCTTGTTCTCCCCTCTCTTACATGGGTGTATCTCAAGTGACATCAGTGAGGGTCCTTTTGACTTTCACTGGCATGAAAAGAGAATCTATTTTGTTTCAAATTATTCACTAACCTTGATATAATAGATCTACTGGTAAAAATGCTATTTCATTGTCTTCCATTCAATAGATGCTATAATTTGTATACAGTTACAGTATGATCGACTTTGGGCTTGATTCAAAATTACAGTAAAGTCCTTTTTACAGCACTCTGTCAGGGTAAAGGAGCCATCTGCATTTTGCATAAGCTTTCTTTAAGGTGTCTTTACCCTGCCAGTATGGTATAAATGAGAATTAAGATATCTGTGCTTACTGTAGATCAATCATTAATAGAATGTTGTATTAAGGGACATAAACAGTTATATTAGGTCTACAGGGCATTCCATCATATCTTGAAGTTAGCCAAGTGCTTACCTTTCTTAACCCTAAGCTACAATTAATGACTAACCTCAAAGTATTTTTTCTTTTTCAGTACTTTATCCAGTACATTCTTGCATGAATTTACACTTCTTTCATTGGTTTTTGACTTTGCTAGATAATACAGTCTTCATTTTATACAAAAGATGTCTGCCCAAATTATTGTGATGTCATCATTAAAAATCCCTCTATTTACCAAATTATACTCTACCATTATATTTATTTCATACTCGACATAATGGGGAAACTGTGATAACCCTAAGGGACAACTCTTGATAATGATGACCCTTAACTACAATATGGGGTGTATCGTTCCATAGATTCAGACTACATATTTTTTTGTTTTAAATGACAATGTCACTAATACAGTCCTTTATTTCAAAACAACAAAATGTTGCTTCTATGGTGTTTTCTGGGCTATAAGTCAGCCTAACCATATTTTATAATTTTCACCTTAAAACACCAAATCAGTTTGTTCATTTGCTGGAGCTCTTAAATCTCAGCAATTAATATGCTATGATGAGGTGAGCAGGACAGAACACATTATCAAGGGATTTCAAATGAAGGACAAAGAGGAAAATAAAACCAGTCATGCACCTCATTCTTGCCATGTCATTTTAAAGTCATCTCTATTTAGGCACCTCCTTTGCCCTTAGCTAGTGTTTTGTGGCCTCTTTGCAAAGGTACACCAACACTTTGGGAAACACTCATCTAGATGATCTAAAGGGCTTTTTCTGTTTTTAATTTTTGTTACTCTGTTATACCCTTTATTTGGCAATACACCAATCAATCAAATGAGAGAGCAATTTACAGAGCTGTTTCCATCCAGTAGAGGGAAGTGTTTCTCTCATACATAAGCCCATCCAGAGAGTAGTGGAGCAGAAATCTCCAGTTGGCTATTTGTCACCAATGAACTTTGATAATTGCAAGGTGTGTGTGTCTTGTCTCTTTGCTGATGTTGTGCAAAAGAACATGAAACATTATTTTGTTCTATCACGTTCCATTTACAATTCAGATAAATAAAGATTGTTTTATGAAAGTGATTTATTTGATGCTATTGTTCTGACATGTTATATTACAAGAGAAGACATGAAATGTAAAGATTTGTTATTACACTGTAATTTTTATTTTCACAGATTTTTGTATGAATTATCCCAGATCCCCAATTTTGCAGAACGAGCCCAATGTATCATCTTCCAATCTGTTTTCTCTGAGGGAATAACCTCAGTGCATCGTAAAGTGGATGTTATTACTTGTGTTTCTAAGGTAGGTTCTGCCAGCCTAATGAAAGTTAATCACAAAATAATTTTTTTTCTTTGCTTCCTAAATCTAATCAAGATATAATATAAAAATTTCAGCTGCTTCATTAATTTTGCAGGAATTTAAAAGCACAATATGTCTCTTAGGCTACGTCTAGACTACATTCCTTTGTCAGCAGAGGGATGTAAATGTAGCACTTCAAAAGTGCGAATTAAGTGGGGATTTAAATATCCCATGCAATGGTGCTCTTTCGAAAAAGTGCTATTTCGAAACTGAAACTGCAGTCTAGACGCGGTTCTTGCAAAAATGGGGCGCTTTTCGCTTTTTTGAAAGATACTGTAAACCTCAAAAAATGAGGATTTTTTGAGGTTTACAGGATCTTTCAAAAAAGCGCCCCATTTTTGCAAGAACCGCGTCTAGACTGCGGTTTCAGTTTCGAAATAGCGCTTTTTCAAAAGAGCACCATTATGTGATTATGCAAATTAAGCACTGGCTATTTAAATCCCCGCTTTATTTTCAATTTTGAAGTGTCTAATTTACATCCCTCTGTCAAAAGAGGGATGTAGTCTAGACACACCCTTACATAGCAACATTTTCTTCCAGTTTAATAGATTTTAAGTAACTTGCTAATAATTTCATGAAAAATAATATTTTCAATAAAGAAATTTCAAGTGCAGTCTTACCATAACACAGAGATCAGCATCAGAGCCAGCTTTAATACTTGAATTAAACTAGATCAGTAAAACTGTAGGAATAAATTAGTAAAACTTAGAAGAAAAAGAATAGCCCCTCAGTGTTGCAGTAATAAAAATAATTGATGATGATTAGAAGAAAGCCTAAGCTATGAATGGAAGCCATAGGCATTCATGAATAAAGCATCCAGCACTGTAAATTGTCTGACCTATCATGAAAAGAGCCTCTTCTGAACTACTGCTGCTCCACTCCATCTGTGAGTGGAGGAGCAAGGTGAAGTTGACAGAATCTGTTTTGATTTGTTGCTCTGATTACATGTTGGCAAGGTAGATTTGGAGGTGCATTGAGGGCACAAATTCTAGTGTGTGGGTAAAGTGAAGAGTCAGGAGATGAATATGAGATGTAAATTCAAGAGGAAAATGAGCTCAAAAATCAATGTAAATAAGCCAAGCTAAAAAAGGAAAAATGAACAATATACAAGAGACTACTGGTTGAAACTCTCTTAACTGGGATTCTCTGGTCTGCAGCATCCGTGGTCTGGCACAGATGTTGTAGGACTAGTGGCAAGGATCCCTGGGAGCCGGCACAGCAGTGGGCTGTCTACAGTGAGCTGATGGCAGGGACCAGCCTGCATGTGGCAGGGGGACTGACCAGTGGGTTTGGGAGACCCAGTGCAAGGCTCTTCGTCAGGGCTGGGAGCTGTGGTAGCTCGGTGGAGCAGGGAGCCATGCGGCTGCATGGTGGGTGCCGGAGTCCCAGCGCAGTGCATGTGGCTGCCCTTCAGGCCCCAGAGTCTCAGCACAGCGCGTGCAGCTGCACAGTGGGTCCCGAAGCCACAGCAGCGATGGCTGCCCAATGGAGTTTGCAGGGCAGAGGGGCCAGCAACTGGTGGGGAGGCCAGCGGGCAGGCCAGGGGGCCTGTGGCAGAGGTCCAGAAATGACCTCCCCTGGTCCAGCAAAATCCTTCATCCTGGACCAGTCAGGTCCTGACGGTGGCCAACCAGTGAGGTCCAAACTGTAGTATCAATATGGTTGTACTGGTGATGTCATTAAAATGTGAACTGAAAACAAGGCTACCTCAGCACTCAAGTGTCTCAAAAATATTTTGTATTTATTTGCAGCACTCAGATCAGAAATGTTACCAAACTATATTCTGCCATCAATTTAAAACAGAAATGCTTAAGCACTTTTAAAAACAAGTTACTTTTCTTAAAATATTAGGAATGTTAAAAACAAGCAAGTTTTCACAATATTTCCAAATAGTAATAAAAACAAATGGGCATTATAAACAATGAATTAAAGCATATAAAATTTCTGAAATAGAAAAATACTATTACTCCCTTTATACTTATGGGGAACTGAGGCACAAAGCACCTGATTTTCATTTATATGAAAGACACCAGTCCGTTAATCTTATGAGGTTTAAATTATGTTTCACTCGCTTTAAGACTATTTTACAAAAAGGGGTCTTTGTAAATAAGAATCAAGCCCATGGAGTTTGAATGGCTTCCCCAAAATTACAGAGCAAGTCTAAACAAACATGGGAAGAGCACCCAGCATTGTTCCCTCTAATTTTTTCCAGCCGTGTGTGGAATATATTTTATCATGTGCACCAACGCATATGTGGATGTGTACCACCAGTAGAAATGCATGTTGCCAGCTGTGGGTGGCTGTGGGCACTTTGCTAAACAGCTGGTTAACATTTGAATCTCTACTCAGTGGCACCCAAGTGTACAGTTTACAGGGAACACTGACACTCAGGTCTCTTAACTCTCAGTCACTTCCTCTTCCACCTCTTCCTCTTTCTTTTGATTTTTCTACAGGCAAGTACAATGTGGTCCACTGAATGCAAAACCAGGGTAGGAGTCTCTGTGTCACCATTTACAGAGTACCAATTTGTAGCCAATTTCTCTCTCAATTTACCTTACCACTGAATTTATTCTTCTACCTTCTTGACCCAAGTTTTATAGTTTTTACTGCTTAGAAGGGTTAGTATGTGTTTACATGGAAGCCATTCATTATCCATGCTACCTTTTAGGCCCTTTTCTATTTTTAAAAAATAATTTAAAATAGTTTACTGCCACACTGTGGCTTGCCCTGCCTGACTCCCATATGTTGCACCGGATATAGACCCAGTACAGTTTATTTGTTCCCTAAGCAGCAGGGAAACTGAGCAGGAGATTGATTGTGACTCCCCAAGTCTGGTCCAGGTGCAGAACAATAATCCACTCCCCCTTAGTCTAAGTAGATCATGAACTAATGGTAAAGCCTTTCTTCTAAACATTTTTTAAATGATTACTCTGCATGTATAGCAATCTCTTTTCTTATCATTTCTTTGATTATGAATATTTGCATAATTTTGTAATCCTAATAGTACCAGATACTACTCATTGTACTTCACATTGATTAATGCAAAATTAAAGAACATCTCAGGAGAAGACACAATCTATTCAATTCCTTCCCCATGTCTGATTCATGTACTTGTTTTAACTTCCTGTCCTCATGCTATAAAAATAAAATATCTTCAAAAAATCATTTTAAAAATTGTCTCTATTAGTACGCTCTAGAGAGTGATTACAGTCTGCCATGTAAATACTGTTTAGCATTTTGATAAATAACCATTTATACAATGTACTATGTGTCAGAGGGGTAGCAATATTAGTCCATAACTTTAAAAACAACGAGTAGTCCTGTGGCACCTTAGACACTAAGAGTATGTCTAGACTACATGGCTCTGTCAACGGAGCTATGTAGATGAGTTTACTAGACATAGGGTGTGTCTAGACTACTGAGTTTTGTCAACAAAAGTGGACTTTTGTCTACAAAACTATACCAGCGTCTACACTACCGCTGAGTTCTGTCGACATAACGTCGACAGAACTCAGCAGTTTTGTCGACACTGGTAAACCTCATTTTACGAGGCATAACGTCTTTGTCGACAGAGTTCTGTCGACAAAAAGGGTAGTCTGGACGCAGGGGTTCCTTTTGTCGACAGAAGGAGACCTCCAGGGAAGCCCCCTGCTGGAGAGTCCTTCTTTAGGAAAAACCTCTTCTTGGTCCTGTCTGTAGCCATGTTTTAAAGGCACAGACATCCCTGGCAGGCATTGTGGCAGGAAGCTGGCCACAGAGAGATCCTGTCAGCCCAGAGCTCTCCCAGCGTAACCTGCACGTGGCCATGTGTGCAGCTCCAGCGCCACGAGGCCCCCAAGGACCTTCGAGGGAGCCATCTCGGGTGCCCTCTGCTGAAAAAAAGAGAGCCCCAGCGTGGTCAGGGACAGAGGTCCTGACACTGCTAGAACTGTGGGGGGAGGAGGAAGCAGTCCAGGCCCTGCACACCTGGCGCAGGAACGCAAACATCTATGGCCGCATGGCTCGGGCTGGCCGATAAAGGGCACCACCCCAGGACACTACAACAAGTCCGGGCAAAAGTAAAAGAACTTCGCCAGGGGTACATGAAGGCCCGAGAACAGAGTTCGGCGTCAGGTGCAGCGCCAGTGCACTGCACCTATTATGAGGAACTGGACTGCATCCTGGGAGGCCAGGAACCAATGTTTGCACCGGTGCTCGTGCAGACAGGCTTGCACACACCAGTGCAGCATAGCCGGCAGGAGGTGCCCAGGGACGATGTCGAGGAGGAGGAGGAGAAGGAGGAGGCAGAGGAGCAGATGGAGGTTCCTGTCTGCAGCCTTTCGTAACGCTGAAGAAGGAACATCAGGTGAGTGCAGGCAGGGTCACAGACACAGAACAGGGGAGGTGGGAGCAGAGAGGATGCAGAGCAGTGTTCACATCTTGGTCCTCCCTCCTGGACAGCTTGCATCTCTCCGTGCATGTACAAGCAGGTGGGCAAGTGGTGGGTATGTGGGTGGAGGGCATGGGAGACCCAAGCTGCAGCAGGCCCCTGTCCTACTGTGCCTGCACACTTATCTGGCCTGGACAGCCACAGTGGAGGGCGGGAGGATCTACGGGGTGGAGGTGGACATTGTCCTAGTCACAACGGGTCCCCTGTGCAGCCGAGGCAGCTGGCAAGGCCAGACGTGGCCTACCAGTAACAACATTCCCATCCCTTGTTGTATGGACTTGTGTGTGAATTGCTAACACTGATCGGTTCTCCTCTTCTTCTCCACAGCCGGACCTGCTGCTGCTGTCCACCGCGCAACTCCTGTGCCACCACCCACCCGGTCCCACAGCACCCGCAGGCATTGGAGGACCTACAATAACCTCCTAAAGCGGCATGTGGAGGCCATGGAGAAAATGGAGAGGACCATGGCCAAAATGCAAGAGACCATGGCTGAAAGAGCGAGGGAGGAGGCTCGGTGGCATACTCACCTGCTGCAGGACTTCCTCCCAGAGTGGAGCACTATGTGTGCCACTGTCTGGGAGTCCCTAGCTGTGCCAGGTCCTCTCCCCCTGGGGACTTCTCCTGCCCATCCAGCTCCAGCCCCCTCTGACTCCCCGTCCTCCCTCTCAGCCCCTGCCATGCCTCCAGCCCTACCCCCACTCCCTCCCTGCTAGAGCAGAGCCATCTGCAGCCCTGACTCGAGCCCGAAGATGGCAGGGTCCATGGACGAGAGGTGGCAAAGCCTTGCAGCCCAGGCAATACCACCATTACCCTTAAGCTGTCTGCCCTCCCTCCCTCCCTCCCTCCAGGATGACATTCCCCCCTCCTACCCAGTTATAAACACAGGTTAATATTTCAAAAAAGTTTATTTTTAACAGTTGTTGAACAATTCTATTTTTATAACAGTTCTAAATTCTAATGTTACTTGTTAATAAACATTATATTTTTCATATTTAACATGATGTGTGTGTCTTAACTGTTCAGAGGCCGATGCAGGGATGGATTGTGGGAGGAAAGGTTTTGGGACGGGGGGCGAGTGAACAGATACCTAAATCTCCCCTTCAGCCGGCCAAACGCGCATTCAACTTGTAAACATGCTCATGTCAGGAGTGCGTTAAAGACTTCCCTGCTTGGTGTCAGATGCCCTTGTATGGCTTCATGAGCCAGGGCATGAGAGGGTTCACCGCATTGGCCACAATGCAGACTGGCATCTCCACATCCCCAACAGCAAAGGTTTGCTGGGGGAAGAAGGTTCCAGCCCGCAGCCTTTGATAAAGATGCAAATTGCGGAAGATCCGAGCATCATGTGCCCAGCCCAACCACTCCACACAAATGTCCGTAAATAGTCCACGGTGGTCAAATAGGGCTTGCAGCACAATGGAGAAGTACCCTTTTCTGTTAATATACCAGGCTGCTCAAAGAGGCGGTACACGGATGGGAATGTGCGTTCCATCAAGTGCTCCTCTACAGTTTGGGAATCCCAGCCCTGCAAAACCGGCCATGATGGTGTCTAGGTATCCGAGGTGGACAATCCGGCTCAGCGGCTCTGAGTTGATGGCCCTCACCACCTGCAGAAATAGACACATACAAACACACACAATATGAAGTGAGAGGGGTTGCCCAAGTCTTTGGGAGGTCCCCCCGCTCCCGCGGTGATTGCTCCCAGCAGTACAGTGGAGTGAGGCCAGGAACCCTTCACCATCTACCCTCCATTGCCCCTACCCCCGCCCTCTCCTGGTAGAGTCCCCCTACCCCTCATGGACTGTCCCCGTCCCCCCAAGGGACTTACCTCCATCAACACGGCGCCAACAGTAGATCTCCCCACACCAAACTGGTATCCCACTGACAGTAGCTGTCAGGAGTGGCCAGCTTCCAGTACCCTCTTCTCCAGCAGGATGGCAGGGTGCAGGTGGGTGTCCTGTCATTGCAGGGTGGGGGCAAGGC